AAGACTGTAGTCTTTGATCTTCTTCAGTAAGTGCTTCAAGTCCTTTTCACTTTCAACAAGCAAGGTTGTTAATGAGTGTTTCTCCAATCTTGATGCCTTGTTCTTCATATAGTCCAGCTTCTCAGATTATTTGCTCAGCATACAGATTGAATAAGTATAGTGAAAGGATACAACCCCGACACACACCTTTCCTGACTTTAAACCACCCAGCATCCCCTTATTCTGTTTGATCAGCTGCCTCTTGGTCTATGTACAGGTTCCTCTTGAGCACAGTTAAGTGTTCTGGGATTCCCATTCTTCGCAGTGTCATCCATAATTTGTTTTGATCCACATGGTTGAACGCCTTTGCATAGTCAGTAAAATACAGGTAAACATCTTTCTGGTACTCTCTGCTTTCAGCCAAGATCCACTTGACATCAGCAATGATATCCCTGGTTCCACGTCCTCTTCTGAATCCTGCTTGTACTTAGGGCAGTTTCCTGTCGTTGTACTGCTGCCACTGCTTTTGAAAGATCTCCATCAAAATTTTACTTGTGTGTGATACTGATGTTGTTTGATAATTTCCACATCCTGTTGGATCACCTTTCTTTTTTTTTTTTTTTTTTGTCTTAAAATGGGTTTGCTTTATTTTTATACTTGATAAATTCCCAGAATTCAGATGGAATGGGTCCTGTTGCTGGTCTTAATATTGTGAGTTACAGAGATACTATGCAGAGAAGCTAGGCATGTATTAAAGCCTTGATTCATATCTTTTAAAGGAACATTAGTATGTCATGCTGGAGAAGTTTTGGATCACCTTTCTTTGGAATAGGCATAAACATGGATCTCTTCCAGTCGGTTGGCCAGGTAACTGTCTTCCACATTTCTTGACAAAGATGAGTGAGCACCTCCAGCACTGCATCCATTTGTTGAAACATCTCAACTGGTACTCCGTCAATTCCTGGACCCTTGTTTTTCACCAGTGCTTTCAGTGCAGGTTGGACTTCCTCTTTCAGTACCATTGGTTGTTGAGCATATGCTAAATGGTTGACCGTCAACCAGTTCTTTTTGGTACAGTGACTCTGTGTATTCCTTCCATCTTTTTTTTTTTTTTAATTGTGCGTTAGGTGAAACTTTCTCATTAAACAATTTATACACAAACTGTTTTGTGACATTGGTTGCAATCCCTGCAGTGTGTCAACACCCACAATGTGTCAACACTGTCTTTCCACACTCTGACTCCTCATTTCCGTCCGTCTGTGTTTCCTGTCCCTTCTTGCCTTCCTGTCATTGCTTTTGGGCAGATGTGGCCCTTTTGGTCTCATATACATGATTAAACTAAGAAGCACATTCCTCACGTGTGTTGTTTTTTAATAGAAAGGTGAACTTTGAGAGCGGCTTCAGTTCTGAGTTAAAAGGGTGTCCGGGAGCTTCCATTTTCTTTTGATGCTTCTTATTTTGTTCAGTATTTTGCCCATAGAATCCTTCAATATTGCAACCCAAGGCTTGAAGTTTTCCTCCAGTTCTCTCAGCTTGAGAAATGGTGAGCGTGTTCTTCCCTTTTGGTTTTCTAACTCCAGGTCTTTGCACCTTTCATTATAATACTTTACTTGGTCTTGTTGAGCAGCCCTTTGAAATCTTCTGTTCAGCTCTTACGTCATCATTTCTTCTGTTCACTTTAGCTACTCGACATTCAAGAGCAAGTTTCAGAGTCTCTTCTGACATCCATTCTTTCTTTCCTGTCTTTTTAATGACCTTTTGCTTTTTTCATATACGATGTCGTCCCACAGCTCATGTGGTCTTCAGTCATTAGTGTTCAGTGCCTCAAATCTATTCCTGAGATGGCCTCTAAATTCAAGTGGAATATATTCAAGGTCATATTTTGGCTCTCATGGACTTGCTGTAATTTTCTTCAGCTTCAACTTCAACTTACATGAGAGCAATTGATGGTCTGTTCTACAGTTGGCCCCTGGCCTTGTTCTAACTGATGATATTGAGCTTATCCATTGTCTCTTTCCACGGATGTAGTTTTGATTTGATTCCGTGTTTTCCATCCAGTGATGTCCGCGTGTATGGTTGCGATTTATGTTGTTGAAAAAAGGTATTTACAATGAAAAAGTTGTTAACATCGCAAAATTCTGTCATGTTATCTCCAGCGTTGTTTCTATCACCAAGGCCGTATTTTAATTACATATCCTTCATCTTTGTTTCCAACGTTTTCATTCTAATCGCCAGTAATTATCAGTGCATCTTGGTTGCAGGTTTGATCAATTTCAAACTACAGAAGCTGGTAAAAATCTTCAATTTCCTCATCTTTGGCCTTGGTGGTTGGTGTGTAAATTTGAATGATAATCATATTAACTGGTCTTTCTTGTAGGCATATGGATATTATTGTATCACTGACAGTGTTGTGTACTTCAGGATAGATCTTGAAATGTTTTTGACAATGAATGTGACACCATTCCTCTTCAGTTTGTCATTCCTGGCATAGTAGACCATATGATTGTCTAATTCAGAATGGCTAATACTAGCCCATTTTAGTTCATTAATGCCTAGGGTATCAATCTTCGTGGATTCCATTTCATTTTTGACAATTTCCAATTTTCCTAGATTCATACTTTGTACATCCACGTTCCGATTATTAAGGGATATTTGCAGCTGTTTCTTCTCATTTTGAGTCATGCCACATCAGCAAGTGAAGTTCCTGAAAGCTTGACTCCAGCTATATGATTAAGGTGGACTCTACTTGGAGGAGGCAGCTCTTCCCTGTCATATTTTGAGTGCTTCCCAACCTCAGGGGCTCATCTTCTGGCACTGTATCAGACAGTGCTCCACAGCTGTTCATAAGGTTTTCGCTGGCCATTTTTTTCAGAAGCAGACCACCAGGTCCTTTTTCCTAGTCTGTCTTAGTCTGGAAACTCTGCTGAAACCTGTCCACCGTGTGTGACCCTGCTGGTATTTGAAATGCCAGTGGCATAGCTTCCAGCATCACAGCAACATGAAATCCACCACAGTATGACAAACTGACAGATGCATGGGGGATTAACAGTTAGTCAAGTGAATAGGGGTGAGACGGGGAAATGTTCTAATTAGGTGAGAAACAGTATTGTGCATGTCAGAATGTGTGTGTTTATCTTTGTGTAAATATATGTGTATATATATAGAATATGTATATATATATATATACACATGCACGCACAGAGTCTAGCAGTTTTTGAGTCTGAGAGAATAAGGCAGAAAGAGTGGTAATAGATAATAAAGCTGGAGAGAAAGAAGAGAGCCATATTCATAAGTCTAGATTATAGCCCTTAGACTTTGGGGGAGCTATTTTAGGATTTTAAGCAAAGAGGGCCAGAGTCAGATTTGGTTTAAGTAGATAGTAGTAGGTTAAGCCCTCTCAGGCTTATTTTCAAAACTCAGATTTCATAGGAAGTTGACTTTTTATCCAAATAAGGAAGGGAACAGAGGCATGAATAATTCAGAATAGGTAAATTAAAACGGCTGTGACTTGGAAGTAATTTTTTTAAAATCTCATTCCAAAATTAATTTTAAAACAAATAATTACGCCAACCCAAATTCAAGATCTGTGTTCTCTTCCTGTCCTGTTTTTCACCTTGTGCAAGGAATAAGGGACACTCATCATACTTGTGCAAAAGCATTAAAGTTTAGCAGAAATTTTCTCTACATGTTTACTGACTTTCTAATTTTTGTCTTTCCTTTTTGTGACTCATGGTTTCTTTGGAACTGGGCATAGTTAATTATTATTTTGGCTTTGGAGAGCTTTTTTTCTAAAATACATGAAAAGGGAGTAACTAAATCTTCATTGATCAGAGTAAGTGTTGCTTTTAAAGTGTACAATTACTTCTGTCCTGTAGAGGGCACAATCCATTTCCGTGTTTAGGATTATGAGAGCTCCATAGGAAGTGCTGTGCCAAGATGGCATTTGTGTTCTGTCAGCAGTAAGGAACTACAGAGCAATTGTTACGTGCTTTTTAAAGTAAAGGCCATAATTTGATGGGCACTGATTTATTTAATGTTTAGATTTCCGTTTTTCCATATCTCATTTGAATCATTTAAGAAAGTTTTGCGGTTCTAGATACTTGGAATTATTTTTGACACCCAAATTTGGAATATTTCTTTCTGAATTGTGATAATTCCAGGGGATATTTGAGATGAGGGAAAGGCAGTTTATTTGTGTAAAATAATACAGCCGTAGTCAGGAACTTACTTGCCATACTTCTGCTTCATGAACACTATTTTCATCTACACATTAAAAGGAAGATAGTGGACAGTAGAGGAGTATACAACACAGTCTAATCACAATAATAAAAATCTTGTTTCTCTGGAACCAGTAAGGGATGAGTCATTCTGAAAAATCATTTCTAGAGCTTTTATTACTTTAAGCTCTTAAAGGTTTATCACTTTAAGCCTCTCAGGTTTCCTTTTTCTTTTTAAGTAAGCATTTTGGATGAAAATCTTTCCAAATGACAGTGCATATTTTCCTGATTTTGCTTCTTTTTAAAATGTACAAGTCAATACATTTTATTATATTTACAAAGTTGTACAACCATCACCACAGTCTAATTCTGCAGTTGCTTTTGATAATGATTTTTGATAACCTAGGGTCATGTGTTAATTGTGCTGTAAGACATTGATTTCCTCTATGGGGGCTGAGGTGTCGAATTCAACCTCCCCTTATACTGAGTGTGAATGATCTCAGGTTGCTGCACTGTTATTGTTCCTGCCCAAGGGAGTCCTGATTCTGCTTTTGTACTTTTTTGCTTTTGCTTGGTTAGAGATTTGGTGGCCAAGCTTGTTAGAATTGTATAGAAAATAGAATTGGGAGTGTTATTGCATTAACGTCTTTTTTTAATAACAGCTTTATTGAGGTAATTCATGTACCATACAAATCACTCATTTAAAGTGTACAATTCAGTGGTTTTTAGTGTATTCACAGAGTTGTGCAACCATCACCACAGTCAATTTTAAATATTTTCGTCACCCCAAAAAAGGAACTCCATACCCATTAGCAGTAACTCCCTGTTTTCCCCCTAAGCTTCTCCAACTCTTGTTTGTTGTTAGCTGCCGTTGGAGTCAGCCCTCAGCTCATAGGGATTCCATCCACAAGGGCATCAGACAGCTGTGACCCATAGGGTGTTTATTGCCTGTTTTCACAAGTAGATCACTAGACTTTTCTTCCTAGTCTATCTTAGTCTGGATGCTCCGCTGTAACTTGTTCAGCATCATAGCAACACACAAGCCTCCATTGATAGACAGGTGGTGGCTGAATATGAACATGAAGTGCATTATCTGGGACTCAAACCCAGGTCTCCTGCATGGAAGGTGAGAATTATACCACGGAACTACCACTGTCCTCATCCCTCCAGTCTCAGGCATCCACTATATTGCATTAACATATTTATGTGGCTTCTTCAGGATGTTTTGCTTACTTTTCTTCTGCTAAGTGGTGCAGTTCCAGATGGGTAAAATATTACCATAAAGTTAGCCAGCCCCTGCTCAAAACTTGGAGCATTGGTGGTGCAGTGGTGAAGAGCTGTGGCTGCTAAACAAAACGTCAGCGGTTTGAATGCATCAGCTTCTCCTTGGAAACCCTGCGGGGCAGTTCTCCTCTGCCCTGTACAGTCGCTATGAGTTGGAATTGACTTGACAGCAATAGGTTTGGACTCAAAACTCAACATACTGATTTTGGTGATATGTTTCCTATGTTATACCAGTAAAATATTTGCATTTGGCTACATTTGAGGGAGAACTAGGTCTTGCTCATCTCTGGCTTTCTCTTAAGCAGCAGAATAAACAAAAAACTTCATAAAGTCTGTCTTTCAAGGTAATAATTTATTTATTCTGTTAGAATAAGTTACTTTCTAATTTCTGGAATGTGATTACAGCCATTCATGTGTATATCATTTAATGCAGGCTAGTGGAGAAATTCACTGGTTACTAAGTAGTGCATACTTATCTGCTGAGCACTATGCTAATGGTTTTGAAAAATGTTAAGAAAAGGAATATGACAGGTTTTGCTGTCAGATAGCTGACATTCTGTCAGAGAGTATATAAATTTCATTACCACAGAGTTAAGTGCTAAATGGTATCTTACTGAACATAAGTGCAATTTAGAGAAAGAAGAAATCATTATAGACTGAAGTAGTTAGAGGGAGGACTCATGGAGGATCTGAGACTGAACCAGATGAAGAGGATTTATTGAAGACATCCCAGATAAGAATAAGCATAAAAGGCATAGGAATACACTTGTGACTTAGGAGAAGAATACATTTTAAACCTATTTGAATTTATGGCTAGAGGAAAAGAGGTCATATCAGAAATGGTCTTAAAGAAAATTCAGTCCTACTGCTAAATTTTCTTATTTTAGAAATATTTCTAAATAGTAAGGTTGAATTTATTCACATAGAAGTATTCAAGCTGAACTTAACCTTTATAAACCTGATATTAAATTAGGATGTAATTTCTTAAAATAATCTACTTTAAACATGTTTTTCAGCCGCCTGTCTTGGTTAGATGGCTCTGGATTAGGATTCTCACTGGAATACCCCGCCATTAGTTTACATGCTGTGTCCAGGGACCTAAATGCTTATCCGCGAGAACATTTATATGTTATGGTGAATGCCAAATTTGGAGGTATGTATGCTATAATTTAACATTTAGTTTTCTTTGGTACAAATTATATTTTAAAAAACAGTCTTTGAAACTAATCAATGTAATATTCAAGTCATTGACCCACTTTGGATAATGGTTTATGAAGCCATATTTCAGCACAGTAAAATAATTTGACACATGAAGTTCTTATAATGGACATTTGTTTTGTCTGGCTTTTATTTTCCATATATTGACACTTAGAATTCTTCAGTTATTATGGATTTATATTTCTAAGTTTTCTTAAGTTTAACTGTTTAGATTCTGTTTTTAAAAGGATTTATATTTGGCACCCTCAGAGGGTTGGGTCAGAATACTTTGTGTTTAGGATAGAACCTTTTTGTTTTGCTTTGTTACAGCGGTGGTTCTCAACCGAGGATGATTTTGTCCCCCAGGGGACAATTTGGCAATGACATTTTTGACTGTCATTACTGGGGTAGGGTTGGGGACTGGTATCTACTGGGAGAGGCCCAGGATGCTACTAAACATCCTACAGTGCTTAGGATGGCACCACCACCACCACCCCCAACAAAGAATTATCTGATCCAAAGTGTCAGTAGTGGCAAGGTTGAGAAACCTTGGGTTACAGGATTCCCAAATTTTTCTGTTGAAGATACTTTCAAAGATTCATAAAAATCTAGTGAAGTTACTGAAAGGAGAAAGATTTAAAAAAAAATTTTTTTTCCAAGCATTCAACCATGGGTTGTAAGAATTCTTACTGAGAAACAAGTTAGGCATAAAATAAAAACTTTTGATATTTGTAAGTGCAACTAAATAAGTTTATGTACTGTATTGTGTTTAGTATGTTCGTCTTTCACAGAAGTACATAATTTTGGGGCTATAAGGACGTTTGTCATACTTTTAATCAATTTCAGCTTTAAAAATAATGAATGTGCTTTTCTTCAAAATAGTGTATAAGAAACAATTTCATGGGTTTGCTTGTTGAGCTATTGCTTGTTCAAATTGGGATTTTAATATGGTTTCATATATAATATGACCGTTTTTTAACCACTGTTTTTATGGAGATATAATTCACATACTGTAACATTCTCCATTTTAAAGTGTACACGTCAGTGGGTTTTAATATTGCCACATACTTTTGATTCCACGCTTCTTTCCATGAGACACAGGAGAGCCCTCCTTGGATATGGAGTCCCAGTATGGCCTCCTGTCTACAGTTTCCCTTAGGCAGAAGGTAGCTTCAGGAAAGGGACTGTCTTCGGATGCCCAAGGGCAGGAGCCAGAGAAGGAACCAGCCACCCCCCTGGGAACTCTGTAGAGAGACTTTGAGGAATACTGGAGATGGATGATCTGGGAAGGGAGAAGTGCACTGCCCTCAATCTCTCTGTGAGACTACAGCAGGCAAGATGTACTACCAGACCACCCTGGCCAAAGTAAAGCCTGAGGGTGCCTAGAATACCCTCAACAGCAGAGGCTGTGACTCTCCGATGGCACAGAAAGGCCTGGATAATATAACCATTTTTAGTGAGTCACAGTACTAAATATTTAGTAATATTTAGGACTTTTGGCAAGCCCTGCCTCATTAAGTGATAATGACTGGCTCACCTATTTGAAAATATTTTTGTTAAAAGATTTCAAATTCTTGCTCTTGGATATAGGCCAAAGATAAATAAAAATCTATCGAAGTTTGAAAGAGACAGTAAGGAAAAGTAAGAGTCCATTTTTGACTTGGGAGTGTAGCAAGACTTCCTAATGAGGAGGTGTTAGGCATGAAGTTCACTTTTCATCTCTGTAAGTGCAACTGTGATTTTATAACTAAGTATTATATGTTGTGTTTAATTTAAATCATTTGTTTATTCATAAATGCAAAACCTTAGCAGTACTCTCTTCAGTCGATTCCAAATGCTGGTGTGAATTGCCCGTAAGTAATGTAGGGCATTGGCATTGGGCAGAGGTGCATGTTAGGAAATAAGGCTAGAGAGGTAGGGTCTGAATAAACACTAGTTAAAGGTCAAAGCACACTAAGAAGACTCTGTCATTAACTTGCTAGACATGTCATTTTCATTCTCTGAGCCTTGATTTCATCCAAAAAATTGAATTAGGCTGTGGTTCCCAAACCTGGCTGCACATTAGAAATACCTGGGGAGCTTGTGAAAAATAGAAATCTAGAAGTCCTAAACGAGGTAATAATGATTCAGTAGGTTTACAGGGTAGATATTTTAAACATGTACTCTATATGAGTGTTTGTTTGAAATTAATGGGATTATGATTAATCCTTTCTTACTTAAGTAAGTGGGATAATGGGATCATCCTGGTTTATATTTTAATAGTTATCTAGGTCTACTACCTGGAACTCCACTCCTCTCATAAGTTACACATGCTATTTGCTCATCCCATCATGATGAGCCTTTGCTCATCTCATTATAATTCTCTGAGCTTCATATTTTCTCCCCTTTACCTCTTTAAAATTGACTGTCAGGTCATTGTTGAAAGATGGGAGTATTTTAAAAATAACTTTAAAAGTTCATTCCCATTGTTGAAAATTTAAGAAGGTTTAAAGAGACTGAAGGTATGGCAGCCACTACTATTATCTAGCATGAGATGATGAATAATGGTGATGGCTGTATTTTTTTCCTAATCTAAAAATATATTACATTTCTGTTTATTGCCTTAACGTAGATTCCTGAGGATATAAAAGAAATTGTTACTAGTGGGAGACGGACTAGGAGAAGGGCGCAGGAACTTAATTTTTCCTTTGACTCCATCTAGACTAACTCAGTTATTTTTACGCCAGCATGGATTACTTTTATAATTTTAGAAGTGATGTTCATTCAGTTATAACGTTTAGAGGGCGATACCATTTTTGTTTTTAAAAATGCATCCAGAAGGTCTAGTAATATCATAACTTATTTGGTTATTTAGAATTGTGTACTTTTATGTTGTTTTACTTGACAGAGTGCGTGTGTATTTTGTATAATTTAGCAATGTAGTAACATTAGAAACAGGACAGAAAAAGCCCTATTATTTAAACTGTTAATTGTGGTCATTTTTGGGTTTTTTCCCTTTTTGCTTATCTATTTTCTAGTTCTACTTTTATCACTTACATTGTAAAAAATAAAAGTTAAAAAACAAAAGAATTTGAGTGGATACCCCTTATAATAGACTCCTATGAGCAGAACTGTTGCATTAAAGATTATGAACATTTTTAAAGCTCTTAACATTGTCAAATTGCTTTCCAGAAAGTTAATTTCAGTTTACACTTTAAATTGTAGTGTATAAGAGTACTTTTCCATCTCATTGTCACCAATATAGAGAATTATTAACAGTTTTTTAAAACTGGTAACTTTAATTAGATTTAAAAAAAAATTATATTTTTCAGATTATTAATCCTTTGAGCATTTTTTCATATTTTGGGGATCTCTTTAAATGTTGAGTTGGGTGGGTTTTTTTCATTATGAAATATTCCACACATACTGAAAAGCACAGAGTTGTAAAAAAATTTTCAATATCTGGCATAAATTCTAACATTTTTTTCATAATTACTCTAGACTTTTAAAGAAATAAAACTATATCAGTACTTTTTAAATCCTTTTTTGTACCCCACCCCATTTCATCCCCTACACTCTGGGTCTCCAATCATTATCCTAAAGGTGGTATGTGTCCTTCCTGTCTCTGCTTTTATATTTTTTACTGAATATATGTATACCCATAAGCAATATGGTTTTGTTTTGTGTTTAAAAATTTAGTGTTAGTAACATATACATTCTGCAACTATGTTTTTCAAATCCATGTTTATACATGTAGATCTCATTTGTTCGTTAACTGATATGTATAAATATATATGTATGCATGCATGTATCTATGTATATTTAAATATGTGTGTGTCTCTGTGTGTGTGATACTACATTATAATATGATGGGAGCATTGGTGGTTCAGTGGTCTTCTGTGCAGGAGACCTGGGTTTGACTCCTGGCCAGTGTATCTCATGTGTGTCCACCACGTGTATGTTAGTGGAAGCCTCCAGACTAAGACAGACTAGGAAGAGAGGCTTGGTGATCTGTTTCCAAGGATCAACCAGTGAAAACCCTATGGATCACAACAATCAGATCTGCAACCCATCGTGGGGGTTGGCGCAGGATGGGGCAGCATTTAGTTCCGTTGTGCATGGGGTTGCCATGAGTCAGGGACTGACTGAACGGCAGGTAACAGTAACAATGTAATATGACCAGGTTATAATACATCTACAGCTTCTCCTCACGTATTGACTATCTTGTTATCCGACATTTCACATTTATGACAATAGTAAAAAATCTACTATCTGACTATTTTGCTCATTAACGATGTACTGGGAGTAACGAACACTGAGATGTGAGACAAGGGTAATACTGTGATGGTTAAGGTTATATCTCAACTTGGCTGGTCCATGATTATCAGTGGTTTGGCGGTTAAGTAATGATGTAATTTGGCAGTTGTGAAATGATGTAGTCATCCTCCATTTTTGCGTAACAACAATTTTGCATAACAACCTGGTCTTTGGAACCATGTCAAGCAGTGAGAAGAGGATGTATTTCCTTTTTTTTTTTTTTAATGTTTTATTGTGTTTTTGGTGAAAGTTTACACAGGAAATTAGGTTCTCGTTTAACAATTTTTGTACATCTTATTCAGTAACATTGGTTACATCCTTCACAGTATATCAGCATTCTTGTTATTTCCATTTTGGTGGTTATGTTTCTATTAATCTAGCTTCCCTGTCACCTTAGCCTTCTCATCTTTGGTCTAGGGTAAATGTTAATGATTTGGTTTCATGTAGATGATTATTTTGAGGAGCACAGTACTCATAGCTGATACTATTTATTTTAAGGGCCAATCTGTCATTTGGCTGAAAAGTGACCTCTGGGAGTGGTTTGAGTTCCAGGTTTAAAGTGTATCTCAGGGCAGTAGTCTCGGGGGTTCATCTAGTCTCTACCAGTTCAGTAAGTCTGGCCTTTTTTAGGAATTTGAGTTTTGATGTACATTTTCTTCCCTTTCTGTCAGGGAGCATCTGTTGAGTCCTTGGTTGGCAAGGTCGATAGTGGTAGCTGGGCACCATCTAGTTCTTCTGGTCTTAGGGTAGGTGATGCCATTTTTCGTGTAGACTGTTGGTTCTGTAGACTAGTTTCTTCTTTGAGTCTTTGGTTTCCTTCTTTCTGTTTAACTCTGGATGAGTAGAGACCAGCAGTTGTATCTTAGATGCTTGCTATGTATTTCTTTTTTAATGAGCATTTAATATATTTTTTAATTTTCTCTAGCACATACAGTGATTCAATAGATTTTTTTTTTTGTGCTTTAGAGCAAAGTTTACATAGCAAATTAGTTTTCCAGTCAGTGATTATTACACAGGTTCTTCCGTGACAAATCCCTGCAAAGTGTCAGCACTCTTCCCATTTCCTCCCTGTGTTCCTGTTCCCATTAGTCTGGCTTCCCTGTCCGTTCCTGCCTTCTCATCTTTGGTTTTAGGCAGATGTTGCCCTTTTGGTCTTGCATAGTTCATTGTTCTAAGGAGCATGTTCTTCACAGGTTATTGTTTATTTTATAGCCCCATCTATTATTTGGTTGAAAGGTGGCCTTCGAGAGTATCTTCAGTTTCAAGTTAGAAGGCTGTCTTAGGGCAGTAGTCTCGGAGATTACTCCAGCCTCTTACAAACCAGTAAGTCTGGTCTTTGTTTTTGGTTTGAATTTCGTCCTACTTGTTCTACATTTTTTACCCATTCTAACCGAGACCTTCTATTGTGATCTCAGTCAGAGTGGTCGGTAGTGGTAGCCAGACACTATCTAGTTCTTCTGGTCTCAGGTTAGTGGAGGCTGTGGTTCCTGTGGGCCGTTAGTCCTTTGGACTAATGACTCCCTTGAGTCTTTGGTTTTCTTCGTTCTCCTTTGCTCCAGGTGGGAAGAGACCAATAGTTGCTTCTTAGATGGCCACTCACAAGCTTTTAAGATCCCAGATGCTACTCACCAGAATGGGATGTAGAACTTCATCTTTAGGAGCTGTATTTTGCCAGTTGGCCAAGACGTCCCTTGAGACTATGGTCCTTAGCCTTCAAGTCCAGTAGTTCAGTCCCAATGTCTAAGTAGTTTCTATAAGTGTGCCCCCTGTGTGCTGTTATATATATGCATATACATGCAGCCTTTACAAATATATGTAACAGCGATCTCATACAATAGTTGTCCTTTTGTAATTGACTTCTTTCACTCAGCATAATGTCCTCCAGACTCATCCATGTTGTGAGATGTTTTGCAGATTCCTCATTATTCTTTATCATTGCATAGTATTCCATTGTCTGTATGTAACACAGTTTATCCATTCATCTATGGATGGGCATTTAGATTGTTTCCATCTTTTTGCTACTGTGAATAACGCTGCAATGAACATTGTTGTGCGTATGTCTGTTCTTGTTACGGCTCTTATCTCCTCTAGGATATATACCTGGGAGTGGCATTGCTGGATCATATGGTAATTCTATTTCTAGCTTTTTAAGGAAGTGCCGTACCATTTTCTGTAGTGGTTGTATCACTTTACATTCCCACTAGCAGTGTATGAGTTCCAGTCTCCCCACATCCTCTCCAACATTTGTTGTTTTCAGTTTTTTTTTGATCGGTGCCATTATTGCTGAGGTGAGATGATATCTCATTGTAGTTTTGATTCGCATCTCGCTAGTGGCTAATGATCGTGAGCGTCTCTTCATGTTTGTTAGCTGCCGGAATGTCTTCTTTGGTGAAGTGTTAGTTCATGTCCTTTGCCCATTTTTTAATTGGATTCCTTTTGTTGTTGAAGTGTTGAAGGTTTCTATACATTTTAGAGGTTAGACCCTTGTCAGGTATGTCGTAGCCAAAATTTTTTTCCCGATTTGTAGGTTCTCTTTTTACTCTTTTGGTGAAGTCTTTTGATGAGCATTAACTGTTTTAATTTTTAGGAGATCCCAGTTACCTAGCTTATTTTGTGGGTTTTTTTTTTTTTTTTTCGTATTTTTAGTTATGTTTGGTATTCTATTTATGATGTATATTAGGGCCCCTAGCATTGTCCCTGTTTTTTCTTCTATGATCTGTATAGTTTTAGGTTTTACATTTAGGTCTTTGATCCACTTTGAGTTAGTTTCTGTGTGTGGTATGAGATACGGGCCGTCTTTCATTTTTCTGCAGATGGATAATCCAGTTTTGCCAGCACCATTTGTTAAAGAAGCTTTCTCTTCCCCATTTAATGGACTTTGACCCTTTGTCAAAGATCAGCTCTCCATAGATGGATGGATTTACTTCTGGGTTCTCAATTCTGTTCCCTTGGTTTGCGTGTCTGTTGTTGTACCAGTCAGTACCAGGCTGTTTTGACTACCATGGCTGTATAGTAGGTTCTGAGATCGGGGAGTATGAGGTTGCCTACTTTGTTTTCCAGTGATGCTTTGCTTATCTGGGGCCTCTTCCCTTTCCATATAAAGTTGGTGATTAGTTTTTCCATCTCGTTAAAGAATGTTGTTGGAATTTGGATCAGGGTTGCATTATATTTGTAGATCGCTTTGGATAGTATTGATACTTTCACAATGTTAAGTCTTCTTAGCCATGAGCATGATATGTTTTTCCATTTATGTAGATATCTTTTGGTTTCTTGCATTTGTGTTTTCTGGTTTTCCTCGTATAAGTTTTTTACATCCCTAGTTAGATTTATTTCTAAGTATTTTATCTTTTAGGGGGCTGTTGTAAACGGTATTGTTTTCCTGATATCCGTTTTGGAGTTTTCTGTTAGTATAGAGGAATCCAGCTGATTTTTGTATGTTAATCTTGTACACTGCCACTTTGCTGAATTCTTCTGTTAGTTCTAGTAGCTTTCTTGTGGAGTTTCTGGGATTTTCTATGTATACGATCATGTCATCTGCGAATAGGTATAGTTTTACTTCTTCCTTACCAGTTTGTATGCCCTTTATTTCCCTTTCTTTGCCTTATTGCTCTAGCTAGAACTTCCAGTACAATATTGAGTAAGAGTGGTGGTAAAGGGCATCCTTGTCTGGTTCCCGTTCTCAAGGGGAATGCTTTCAGTTTCTCTCTGTTGAGAATAACGTTGGCTGTTGGTTTTGTATATGTACCCTTTATTTTGTTGAAGAATTTCCCTTCTGTTCCTACTTTGCTGAGAGTTTTTGTTAGGAATGGGTGTTGGACTTCATCAAATGTCTTTTCTGCATCAATTGAGATGATCATGAGATTCTTGTCCTTTGTTTTATTTATGTGATGGTTTACATTGATTGATTTCTAATGTTGAACCATCCATGCATACCTGGTACGGATTCCACTTGGTCATGATTTGTTTTTTTAATATGCTATTGAATTTCAGTTGTCTAGAATTTTTTGAGAATTTTTGCATCTATATTCATGAGGGATATTGGCCTTAATTTTCTTTTTTAGTGATGTCTTTGCCTGGCTTTGGTATCAGGGTTATGCTGGCTTCATAGAGTGATTTCGGGAGTATCCTTCAATAAATATTTGTGTACAAACTCCTTGTGTACTTGTGTAAGATTTTCTACAGAATATGTACTTAGATATTGTATTGCTGGGTAGTAGGGTATGCACATCTCCAGAATGGTCATAGCAATTTTCACTTCCACCAGCTGTGTGTGCTAGTTTTCTATATTGAACATTTGTATTTTTCTTTTGTGTACAGCCTTTGTTAATTTATCTGTTGGGTCAGTAACTGTTAGGGGCCTCATCTGTAAATTATTGGTGGTGAATCACATCAGTGGTTTACAAACTGCTACTGAATGCTTTGTTTTAAGGTGAAATGTAAAAGAAACAGATGTCAGTAAAACTACTTGTCAGAGCCCTGTTTGAGCTTCCCCTCTCCACACCCTGAGCAGATTCTGTAATCTCTAGGGCTCAGTGAAGCATTGTGACTAGACAAGAGATTCTATCCAGAGTCTCTTGTAGCTCTAAAATCACTATGTTCTTATAATTGGAAGTAAAAATTGAATGGCAGTGTTTAAATATGTTAATAAATGTCCTTCAGGAAATACTCTTAGGCTTGCTTTTTAAAAAAAGGGGGTCAAATAAATGCCATCATTAAAAAGTTGTTTTTATTCCCATTCTAGAAGAATCAAAAGAATCCATTGGTGATGAAGAAGAGGAAGACAGTGATGATGATGTTGAACCCGTTGCTGAATTTAGATTTGTGCCTAGTGATAAATCAGCATGTGAGTGTTCTATAGTATTGAGGTTTTTTTTCCTTTATGTTCCCGGCGTTCTCCCCAATGACTCATGCATGCACACACACACTTCTCTTTATCACCATTACCTCCATTTTATTGCTTTTTCTTCATTTTAGCTTCTGTAATATCACTGAGGACCTATTAATATCAAAAGTTATGAATGTAGTGAAAATATAGTAAACACCATATTACCTGGTGTGTTTTGTGAATGGAGGCTTTTGGTTATTTTTATTGACTTGATGCTGTATGCTGTGGGTCTCACCAGATGGATGGCAGAGGAATTATGGCAGTCCCAAAGTGGAAGATACCAGCATAGCTGTAGAGAGTGCTTCTAGCTCAGAGGGGTTTCACCCTGATGCCAGCAGTCTGACCAGCGCTCTGACCCTTTTTCTCAGAAAATCCAGCCAGCCTTGAAAAGGTCTCAGTAGTATCTTGAATTGAACTCTTATTATTTTGTTATTTGTCCATTGCCATCAAGCACTTTAGAGATCAGTCCTACTTAGAATTTAGCAGGTTTTATAAATACCATGACCCTAGTATACCTCTTGTCTACCAATTAAGTTTATTTGTACTGATGATTATTTTATTAAATTTTTATTGACCAGAGAAAATATTAGTTACAATTTAATTTCCTTGCTCAGTGGAAGCAATGTTCACTGCAATGTGTGAATGCCAGGCTTTGCATCCAGATCCTGAGGATGAAGATTCAGATGATTACGATGGAGAAGAGTATGATGTGGAAGCACATGGTTAGTGAAATGGATTTCTTAAGTGTTTTTTGTTTTTCAAGTGTTTTCATTTTAAGCATTCATTTGTACTAGGGGTAGGAGACTATAGTTCTTTATATCCTTATAAAGTACCCAATATAGTATGTTTATTATGTCTAAGCCTTTTGGAGCAGACAAATTGGGAAAATTTATGGGCTTTCTAAGCTTGAGAGTTAAAAAATAGAGATTATTAGGGAGAGAATATGGGTAGGGACAAATAGAAGGAAAGAAAATGATAAATAGGAAAGTGGGCTGTCAGGAGAGTCTTTTAAGTTGAGGCAACTGCTACCAGAGAACAAGCCCTCTCCCTGCATTCCTTGAGAAACTGTATCATCTACTTCTTTATTTAGCATATTCCTTCAAACAGCTCACCGCCAAGGTCATTTCTTTTTCCCAGAACTATGCTTGATTTACTCTAAGAATATTTCCCCATTCCTCCCTGGACCAGACTACAGTCGCTTGCCTGGGACATTCTTTTGGCTTAAGATACCTGCTATTCTCTCTCCTTTTCCCCGCTGGTCTTATGCACACCAGTCTGGGTCTCCTAAGCCCTTTCCTCCATATTTACCACTTTCTAGCCTGAGACAGACTCATTCCTGGCCTTCTCCATCACTTATCTGAATACATCCCTGTCTTTGCTGAGATTTTTGAGTAATTTTTTTTTTTTTTTTAATTCTTTTTGTGTTTTCTAGAATTTGTGATTTTTCTAAAAGGAGCATGTATTTTAATCAGGAAAAATATCCTTCAGTACAAATTAATACTGAGTTAATTTGTGTTGCCCTGTAAAAATCCCCACCTTGGGCTAATACAGGATTCGCTGACCTCAGGAATACCCTCTTTTCCTTCTCATCCCTGGACATGTGATTCTGTAGGAATTGCTGTTTACTGACTCTTTATCTCTTGGGATCCCTTCTCATCCTGGAGGGTAGGGACGTTTTCTTTACATCCCTATCTCTAACCAATGACCTATATATGTGTATTAAATGAATGTTGAAAAGTATTATCATGGAAGCCTATTTTCACTGTACATTATACTCAGTAAATGCATTATTGAGTGTCCACTTGGTTTTCTAATTGTTCTGTAATAGCTTAAAAAGTTTTTGTTTATTTAGAACAAGGGCAGGGGGACATCCCTACATTTTATACCTATGAAGAAGGATTATCCCATTTGACAGCAGAAGGCCAAGCCACATTGGAGAGATTAGAAGGAATGCTTTCTCAGTCTGTGAGCAGCCAGTATAACATGGCTGGGGTCCGGACAGAAGATTCAATAAGAGATTTTGAAGGTGAGTGTTCTTTCTTTTCAGTTGGGAACACTCAGAAGGGGCACTTGGCACTTGGACAGCAAGGGAAGTTATGAAAAGACAAATGTAGGTTCTTTTGGAAACTAAAACAGAAATCTCAGAATTAACTCTTTATAGAATAGGAAGCAGGTATAGAAATACATAGAATGGGAGTTCCTGTGTAGTTATTTTAAGTGACTTTTTTTCTAACTACAAATGTAGTATATATATATAGAAAATGTACACAGGCAAAGAAGAAAAGAGAAAAATCAAGTATAATTCTACGCAAGAGATATCTACTGTTAATTTTCTGTTGCATATCCTTCCAGTCTTTTTCTTCTTTTTGCTTATGTATGTGCACATATTGCTGCCATTTTTATTTAAAAAATTAATATCTACATGATTATATTCAAAACTAGGATAGTCAACTGATTTAAAGGGCTAGGCAGAAGATGACATTCAAGAAACTTTGGATTCTCTTCTTGTGACAAACTTACAGACCTTAAACAAGTGGCTTTAAATGTTTCAGTTTTCTTATGTTTATAGGTTTGTTTGTAAATATTTTTCCTATCAGCCTGGCTTCCTTTTCTAAATATCCTGTTTCAATTAGAACTTTGAAGTGTTCTTTTGACTCAGTCTTCACCATTTATTCCCCTATTCAGTCCAATACCGAGTTCAAGGATTTTTTTCTTTGAAATGACTTTATCTCCTATTACTACTGCTAAACTCCTAACCTAGGCCCTTTTTTACTCTCACTGGATTTTACAATGCCTTTATTTCTTGCTTTGATTATCCGCTCCTCCAGCTTACTGTACCATACTAATCTTCTGAGAACATTCTTTGATATCACCCCCATAAAAGGATGTCTACTCAGGGATTTCTTGATGCCCACCTTATAAAATTCACTTTTTACTCTGAAGAGGCAGTCCTGTCTGCCCCAGGTGTCTCCAGTCTTCTTCCTACTACTACCAATAAAGCACTTGTTAGTTGCGTGGAGTCGATTCTGACTCATGGCAACACCAAGTGTGCAGAGTAGAACTGCTCCCTAGGGTTTTTAAGGCTGTGACCTTTTGGAAGCAGCTCACCAAGCCTCTCGTCTGAGGCACTTCTGGGTAGGCGCAAACCACCAATCTTTTTGGCTAGTAGTTGAGCACTTAACTGTTGGTGCCACCCAGGGACTCCTTCATAAATCACTTAGATAGCACTTATGTGCTAGACCCTGATTTAAGCACATTACACATATTTACTCATTTAATCCTTCTAAGAATCCTATGTGGTAGATGCTGTTAAGATCCCCATTTTACAGATTAGGAAACTGAGGTAAAGAGAGGTTACAACTTGTTTGAGGTCACACAGTTAATAAGTGGTGAGAGGATTAAATTAATTATATGTATATAATATACCAGGCACTGTTACAAGCACTTCTTGCATCTTACATGTATTTTATATATATAAGTATTTTTGTGTTGCTACAGAGTCTTAACACTTCTAATTTCAGTGGCTGCAGAATGTTTTGCAAAGAGGCTTACTGTGGTTTTGCTCTTGCTGGTATACACCCACTCTTTACTTGTCGACATGGTCAGGTTCCAAAGACCAGGTCGTTAGGCAAAAATTGGCATTATGCAAAAATGGAGGATTTTTTTTCTGTTTTCAGACCGTCCATTTGTCTGATTTCTTTTATTTAGAAAATATGATTATAGAAATAATAACAGCTAAGATACACTGATGTGCTCATCACTGTGACGAGTCCAGTTATGGATTATTTCTCTGCAGAGGAGGAGGCTTGGAGGAAACAAAGCTGGATAAAGCTGGGCTGTGTGACTGGAGGGCCCACCACACAGCAATTTTGAGCTGCAGGGCATCCGGTCGCATAGGAGCTGGAAACCCCAGAACAGGCTCCTGCTGGCTTGTTGCTGCATCCACCCGGAGGCTACAGCCACGGAGGAGGCTGGTCCCATGCGGCAGCTGGACACAGTGCCCCCGCCAGCAGGAGAGAGCGGAGGGCACAGTGCATCGCGGCCCAGCTTCTATTGTCATAAATGTGAAATGTCAGATAAGGAGAGAGTCGATAAGTGAGGAGTAGGTGTATTTAACTTCCTCACAAAATACTGCAATCAGTATCTTTTTTTAAAATTATTACGTTTTAGGAAAAAGTTTACACAGCAAATTAGGTTCCCATTTAACGATTTTTATACAGATTATTCCATGACATTGCCTGTAATTTTCACAATGTGTCAGTGTTTCATTATTTCCATTCTGTTTGATCTGTTTCCGTTGATCTAGCTTTCCTTCCCCTCCTCGCCTTCTCATCTTTACTTTTGGATTAATGTTGACCGTTTGGTCTCATATAGTTTATTGTTTAAGGGGAACACATTACTTCGGGTGTTAATAAGCCAATCTGTTATTTGGCTGACAGGTGACCTCCAGAAATAGTTTTAGTTCCAAGTTCAAAGGGTATCTTAGGGTGATAGTCTCTGGGGTTCTTCTAGTCTCTATTCATCCAGTAGGTCTGAGCTTTTTTTAGGAATTTGAATTTTGTTCTACGTTTTTCTCCCATTCTGTCCTGGACCTTCTATTGTGTCCCTGGTCAGAACAGTTGGTAGTGGTAGCTGGGCACCATCTAGTTCTTCTGGTCTCAGGTTAGAAGAGGCCGGGGTTCATGTGGGCTGTTAGTCCTGTGGACTAGTTTCTTCTTTTAGTGTTTAGTTTCCTTCATGCTCTTTTGCTCCAGACGGGTTGTGTCTTAGATGATCATACAGTCAGTATCTTCATGCATGTAACATGTTGATCTGGGGTCCTAAAGTTCTGGAGATTTTAATTTGGAGAAGTTTGAGCTTTGGATCACACTATTATTCTTATGTTTATCTTCCATTTTAAGCCCTGGCTAGTGAGCCTCTAACATAAGCTTTAGGGTGAGATAGCACAGATAATTTCTAGTGCTGTACCAAAATTGAAAAGAATTCAGGATGTTACCTTTTTTTATTATAGTGATGGACTAGAGATTGCCCTTTCATGACAGAAGTTTTTTACAGTTTTTGTTTTTAATTATAAAATTCCTTTAAATATGCTTTATAGCAAACAATTTTAAGGTCACAAGCACTTTTTGTATAATGTGTTTTACACCTTATAAATTTCTTACTAGTGAGATTTTCGGGCTTTTATTTATAAGCTTCATTAGCACATTGGGAATTGCCTGTGTATAAAACTTTCAGCTCATGCTATACCCCATCCTCTAAAGTCCTGAGTACCCACGTCATTCATTTTGCCATTTAAACACACACTGTCTACTAATGACATTTTAGTGCTTTATGTACATATTTGTGTAAGAGGTATTCATTGAGCTGCTGTGCCAGGTACAGAGAATACAACATTGCTTAAGAAAGATGAGGTTACTGTCTTCATATTGTTGATATTCTAGTGGAGAGAAAAATAAATTAGGCAGTTACAACAGCATGGAGTGAGATATAGGGGAAGCTTGGGAAGCTGTGGAATCTTAAACACGGGGCTCTTTACCCAGCCTGGATACTCAGAGAAAGCTTCCTGGAGTAAATGACATCTATCCAAGATCTGAAAGATGAACAGGAATAATCCAGGTAAAAGGGGGATTGCACACAGGTTGTGGGGAGAGTCAAGCAAAGGGATCAGCCATGTGCAAAGGTTCAAGAGACCATTTGGCTTTGGGGAACTGAAAGTAGTTCAGTATAGCTGGAACTTTGAGTGCGAAGTGTGGGTATTACAGCAGCAGGTAAAGTTGGAGTTGTGAGCTGGGGCCAGATCTTAAAGGAACTTGAAAGCTGTGTTAAAGAATTTGAACTTTATCCCTAGGTCAGTGGGAAGCCACTGAAGACTTTTAGTTTGATTAGTGTTTTTGAGATGTGTCTGGCCGCAGTACGGAAGAATAATTGGAGGGGGAAAATACTGAAATAGGAGGAATGAAGAGAAACCCTGCGTAGTGAGTTGTGTATTAAATTAGATGAGAGATGATGCTCTGAATTAGGTAGTGGCAGTCAAGATGAAAAGACTTGACAGATTTGAAAGATAGCTAGGAGATAGAAACAACAGAAATTAGAGACATGGTGAGGGTTTCTTATTTGGGCAGATGACCGGTACCTTTAACCAAGATGGGAACTGTTTGGAAAGAGAAGCAGGTTTTATGTGGAAGGATAATGAGTTCATTTTAGACACGTGTTTCATTTGCATGCCCTGCTTGATGTCCAAGGGTAAGGTGCCAAGGGGCTGGGGGCAGAAGCCAGTTTGTAGTGAGTTGAAGAGTTGACGGATGAATGGGAGGTGCAGAAGTAGACAGAGCAGCTGTAGACAACTCTTTCTAAAGGGCTTTTTTTTTTCTTGCCCCCCGCCCCACTTTTTTTTAATGAAATGAGGAAAACAGGAGATAAGTAAGAACTTTGCTGATTTTGTCTCATGAATTTTGTCTGGTTTTGTCTTTTGAAATATGCTGTAAGCTGTTTGAGGATAGGACATCATACCTTTAAAAAAAAAAAGTCTCACAATAAATACTTAGAACAGTTCTGTGAAGAATGAATACTTGATGCACACTGCTGAAAGTTTCCGCTTAGTATTGTTCTAGTGTTGAGATTGAGAATTTACAAAGGAAATGTATAGGCTAATTTTAACTGGCTTAAATCCACAGGTAGCATTTTCTTTGATATTTTAATTTTTAAAAGAAAAAAAAAGGACCTCTTACCAACAGAGGGCAGTAGCTTCCTTCTGATTGAAATATAAGTTGAACATTTACTTACCCAGTTAATTTTTCTTCAGATGGGATGGAGGTAGATACTACACCAGCAGTTGCTGGGCAGTTTGAGGATGCAGATGTTGATCACTGAAAACGACTTTAAGGTGAGTGGTTTATTTTCTTGTCAGTGAACATGAAAATCATGTGAAATAATTTTTATTTTCATAATTCAAGAGAGTTCTATGTAGTTAGCAATTTGGTAAAATGTTAGTTACCCATTTCTTAAATTGAAAATTAATGAATTTTTTTTTAATTTAAATTATTATCCAGTTTGACTTTTTCTAAACTTCCTTAAAAATGAATATCTGCAAGCATGGTGATGTTCAGTTTAGTTTAACATGTACTGAGCACCTACCACATACCATTTGTTTTGCTAGGCACTGATAGTACATAGAAGAATAAGACGTAGATCTGTCTTCAGTGAACTTATGAGAATGGTATGAGCCCTTTGTTCAGAAATAGACCTCCCTCGTTGACTTGGGTGGGAGCAACAGAGCCTGAGGTCATGTCCTGGTCTGCTCTTAAATCACCTGTGTTCATCAGCAAACACAAAGCCAAGATTTGCTGTAACTCACTGCTTTTCAATTTAGGGAGGAAGTAGAAGTAATTCCAAACTGAGTTTACGCCTTTAATCATAATCTTGTATTGGTTTCCCTTCTCCTGAAAATAATGGGGACAAAGGTCCCGGTCACTTTAGTGTGTAAGGATGATTTACACATCGTTTTCTAAGGTATTTCCTGCCTGCTTTTTAACAAGAAAAGCTCACTGCCACATAAGAGCTCACTGCCAATTTTGTCTCCTTTATATGTTATCGTAATAATAATAATGCAAGTAGTACTTCCTTTATAAACTGCACAGCCAGAATACTCATTAGAAGCAAGAATGGCAAGACATCATCTCACATACTTTGGACATGTTATCAGGAGGGACCAGTCTCTGGAGAAGGACCTCATGCTTGGTAAAGTAGAGGGTCAGTGAAAAAGAGGAAGTTGCTCAACGAGATGGATTGACACAATGGCTGCAACAGTGGACTCAGGCATGACAACCATTGTGAGGATGGCACAGGACCGGGCAGTGTTTCCTTCTGTTGTACATGGGGTCGCTATGATTTGGAACGTGACTCGATGGCACCTAACAACAACATTCTCATAAGGAACCCTGGTGGTACAATGGTTAAGCACTCAGCTGCTAACTGAAAAGTCTATACTTCGAACCCACCAGCACTCTGTGGGAGAAAGACCTGGTGATCTGCTCCCATAAAGATTACAGCCAAGAAAACCCTAAGGGCCAGGTCTGCTCTTTCACATGGGGTTGCTATGATTCGGAATTGACTCCACGGCACAGGATACCACCAACAAGACATCCTCACAAGCTTTGCCTGAAGTTTGTCCCTGACTATTTTGTTAGCTACCTCATTAGTCTGAGAAGCATATTGTTCTTTGCCAGCTTGAGGATCTCAACTGTTTGTTAAAAGCTGAAGGTCACAAAGCTAGTTCATGTCATATAGAGATAGGACTAATAATCCTAGTAGTACTTCCTATATAAACTGTAAGATTTTTACACTGTTAAATTGTTTTCCTATCTCACAAGTGTCCTCCTACTTCTGACCTTATAACATTTTCTTGAGTCTTGGCAACATGTTCTTTGAGATGCCACTTATATCAAGATCTTTTTTATTTTATTAAAGCGTACCGTGGTAGCATGGTAAGATTTACATATTTTGGCTTGACTCTTCCACCATTGTCAGTCGCCCAGTTAGGTCATGAGATCCCTCATTGTTCCCTGCTGTCAGAAATATTTCAGAATCCCTCTCTCCTGTTCTGGTGCAGTTTTTAGTTCGGAACCTTAGGCAATCATTGGCATCTCCTCTAGTTACAAGTTTTAATTCCTGTACCCACGTTCCATTTTATATCAGTTAGAACCCAGCCTTTCTCTCTAACTTCCAGTTACCTTCCACATTATTGCCATTGTGAATATAACATTGCTTCTTATACTAACCATGAATTAAAATACTGGATTTTTGCTTTCCTCTCAGGTGTTGCCAACTATCAGAAAATAATCTTCTAGAGTTCTGTGATTTACGTCTCTTTCCCTAAATATTTAATTTTTATTTCTACAACATTTACTTCTGTCATTGCTAACCAAACCTTCTGAAATCAGCAGCGTCTCGTCTGTACTGGCTAAAATCATGTGTTCATATTGCTGGAACTTTCTTAACTTTAATGTTCAATTCTCACAGTTCCACATATCAATAACTTCACTGTTTTACCTCATGGTAAATCTTTGGTACCAAGTTAAGTCTTCTTTCCTTGTTTCTTGTCACGTTCTTTATAGCATATTGGTTTATCCAGTTCAGTAATACTTGTTTTAGTAACTTTTATTGAAACTGTAAAACAGATTTTTCGACCTTATGGCTTTCACATATTTGTTCTTGAAAAATAGAACACCAACCACTGTATTAATAAGGATCATGAGAAACTCATTTGGTATGTCATTAATAGTACACAAATAAGATGTTACTGTAATTCCCTGGTGAGAATTCTTAGGATACTTTGTAATGGTGTAATAACCATGTAAAATAGTTACAGACTTTCTAATGAGCTAATGGTTTGTTTTCTATTCATTTTATGCTAGAGCTCAGAGGCAGAGATTTTATTTATAAAGTTTATACATGTTCTTCATCTGAATAATTGACCTGAATTCTGAACAGTGAAGATTTTTGATCATTTGAAATTGTATTTGCCTTTAAGGAATGAATAATGAATAATTAGTGTGTGTATTCAACCATTAAAAATTTCAAGATAATGGAACTATTATATTAACCAACAAGGACCTCTCAATATGTGAGACAGGGTAAAGGGGAAGGCACATGAATGGTGGTATTGCAGCTCTTCCTCTGTACTGACCGTGCCTTTGGACAAGGCATATAACTTCTCTCATCCTCAATTTCCTCATCTGTAGAATGGAGATAGTAACAACTGCCTTGTAGGATTGTTGCAAAGAATGAGATAAAATACCTTGGCAAAAACGGGTTAAGCACTCCACTACTCGCTGAAAGGTTGGTGGTTCAGACCCGTCCAGAGGTGCCTCGGAAGACAGGCCTGGTGGTCTGCTTCTGAAAGGTCACAGCCTTGAAAACCTGTGGAGCAGTTCCCTCTGCATACATGGGGTCACCATGAGTCGGAATTGACTCAACAGCAAATAACAAAGTGCCCTGACGCTCGGAGTAGGCATTCAGTAAATAATAGCTATTATTATTGTTATAAATGTTGTAAACCTTTTGTTTTTCAGATTCTACCCGTTACTGTAGGAGAGAACTTGGTGCCTCTTATACTGTGGAGTCGGGGTTGATGAAAATCTTTTTCCTTCTCCAGAACTCACCTGAACCAGTTCTTTCTTGGGACAGACTATACTGTGACAGCAAGTTGTCACCAGCAAAAGAAACTTATGACCTTTATTAACAAAGGTGAATTAACTAAGAGAGTATTTGTAGTTGATCGTTGGCCCCAAAACTTTCTGTGTCTAGGTACCCTCTGAGTAGGCCTATAATCTCTGCCTTTACTATATGCATCTTCTATAATCTAGCAGGCCTATGTGGTAAAAATGTACAGAAGCTTGAAGGTGGAAGTAGACTGGGTGGGGAAAGAAAGACAAAGATAACTCAGAGAAATCCTAGCCTCTTTGTTCATTTTTCACAGAGACAATGACCTTTTACTAATCTGGGGGCCAGATTAATTCAGGCATCTCTAGGTAGTCTCTTTGGAAACATCCTAGCCACACATGCCACCACTAACACAAGTCTTGGGCTTCTGACTAGTTTTGGCTCCTTTTACCATGTTTATTTTAGCCTGCAAAATTCCAGTCTGTTTTGTTATAACCTCTTAGGTTATATCCTTTAATCTCCAACCTCTTAGGTCAGTTTCTGTAACAGAACAAGTGAAACTGGGATGAAGTTCTCAACGTGCTTCAGATGAGAATTGTTTTGTCTTTGTAATAGCTTAACAAATAAATCTAGGTTTTCTATATGACTGTGCCTTCGTTCTTAACTAAAAGCATTAATTAGAAATGTTTTTTAAAAAAATAATGCTGGCAAAAAATGAGAATTGTATTCTTTGTTCACTTTTGTGAGGCATTATACAAGAATGTGAACATGAAATGAGTTACAATGTAGTCAGAGCTTCTGGCAAGTATTAAGTGGGGGTAAAGATTTAACATATTTCAAGAGATTTCTGCTTCCACTTGGATCCGGAGCGATTTCTTTTAATATACTTATCAGTTCTAAGTTGGTAGATTTATACTAAGTTAACAGATTTATATTTGGACTTTGCATACCATTTTATGACCTTAAAAATAAGGCTAGGAAAGCTACTCAGAATCACTTGGCTAATTAGTGACTAAACTTTAGTTTGAACTCATCCAGCCCAGTGTTCTGTTCAGCACTTTTGTTTGCTTTCCCTCACCCTGCAAGGTAGACTGAAAAAACTAATTGTCTTTTTTTCTAACCAGACTCTCAGAATCTCTAAATCTGTTGCAGTAGGCAAACGGGCCACTTGGAAATGGGTACTAAAGTGAACTGAGACCTCTGTGCCAGCCACTGTCCTGGCTTCTTTACATACTTTATGCCTATAATATTCTTAACTACCTATGAGATACAGGTACTTTTATTATCCCACTATTATTTATAGATGAGGAAACAACTGTAATTTTAAGCCCATGCTTGAAAACACCATATAGTCTTACCATCTACTAACAGCTGAAGGAAACAAAGACTCCCTTCTACTGCATGGTCTTCAATGTAAAAATTTCAGTGGACAGCACATAAAGTTCCCAAATTTCTTTGCAGCCAACCTGAGTAGCACCCAGACTTCTAGAAGTTTATCTGTTGCTCAGCAAGCAGCCAGCATATCCTCCATAGGCTGATCTTAGAAATTCCATTTGAGTTCCTTTTAAAATTCTGTGCTTACAAACTTGCCATTGTGACTTTTCAGTGAAGCATGAAGTGCTCTGATAACATCCAACAAAACGTCCAGGAGATTCTGTTTCCTGGGATTGCTGTGGTGAGCCTGATATGTTGGACATTGCAGTAGACTAGTAGGCAGAAGACCAAGCATTTAGTTCTGGCTTGGCAGACAAGATATTTAACCTCTCTGGGCCTATTTCATCATCTGTAAATTGAGGGGAACTGGACTCAATGACTTTCAAAGATCCAGCTGTAACATTCTGTGATACTAGACAGTTGCATCCATAGCTTTGATAAAGTAAACCAAAACCAACCAAACCCATTGCCATCGGGTTGATTCCAACTCATAAAGTAAAGGTGAAGAGAAAAAACTATCAGGTTAGACTTTGAAGAGATGAAATTTATAATGATCAGCACACTAACATTTATTGATTCTGTTTAAGCTTAATTTTAGGATTGCTAGAATTGTTTGTCTTGCTTCTTGATATAGGGAAACTTAAAGAAAAGGCTAGACAGTTTTCTCCCCAGGATGTGAGCCATCTAAACTATCCCTAAAACTATCATCCGCTCTAGATCATTCTGTCACTTGAAAAATGTATTCATTAAAATATGATCCCAGTGGATTTCCTTCTCCCTCAGATCAGTTTTTCAGATAGTTTTACTTTTCAGATAAGCTTGTTTAAACCCTTGTAGGATATGTATTTCGAGATCCTATTGGGATCTTCTTCAATGTTGGTAAACGTGAGAGAGTATACATAGATAATGATAGTATATAGCCCTTTACTTGTAGAAGACAAGTGTGGTTACTCATTGTTCAAATAAAGACTGGATATTTTGTTAAAATTTTATCTAAGGATTTCAGATAAGATTAGTACTGCATAGCTGATTCTCGTGCAAATCCTGTTTTAAAAGTATTTCTAGAATGGGTGAGTCCACATTTGGTAACCTATCTTCTGTAGCCAATATATGGTCATTAAATTCTGAGCAATAGCCCTTGTTAGGATTCTAATAGAGTTATTGCCAACTCTCCAGGAAGGAACTGGAACATGTTTTCACTAGCAGCTCACTCTATCTGATCATATACATGTAAATAAAATAAGTATCTAATGTGGAGGACTTCATACTTTCAGAAGAGAAATCAGGAAAACATTTTTTGGGAGAGCAGTATATTTGGTAAGAATTTTTTGTTTTAATTTTAAAAAGATAAAATAGAGCTATATAACCTGGAGGTAAGAAGGCTTATAACCATTTAGGCTAATTAATACTTCTTAGGGTTATTTTGGAGATGATATGAATCGCTAATACATGTAAAACAACCTGTACTAGAACAACAGTGCCTAAACAAAAGGCTTTCTAAATAGATGTTAATTATTACCAGCAGTGGTAATTACTTCTTTTCATAACAGAAAAAGAAGCTACAAATATAATATTAACTCACCTTTTTGAATACCTATGAAGCTTGAAATTTAAACATCTACAGAGCAATTAAAATAGATATGAAGATGCTAGTGAAATATGTTCCAGTTCCTTTCTGGAGAGATAGCAGTAATTCTTTAATCCTAAAAAGGACTGTTACTTAGAATTATTGACCATATGTTGGCTACAGAAGATGGGTTACCGGGTGTGGACTCAGCCATTCTAGAAATACTTTTAAAATAGGATTTGCATGAGAATTAGCTCTATAGTAATGATTTTATCTGAAATCTTAGATAAATAAAATTCTACCACAATAACCCATCTCTATTTGAACAATTAGTAATTGCTCAAGGAGGACTAGAGGCAAAGAGACTAGTTACGAGGCTACTTGCAGCAAATAAAACATGCCTAGGATCTCAGGACTTACATCTTGTGGTGAGAGTAAAGTTACAGAATAATTATCTGAAAGTGTGGTTAAGCTGAAGAGTGTTTCCACAAGAGGTTGTGGAATCTTCCTGTATGCTTTTTGGATGGTTTAAAGTATGTAGTTATTCTAGTCCTAGCATTCCAATATTTTGCAACAGTGTGTTTTTTAATAATGTGAATTAGCTTACAAACAGTTGCAAAATAGGGTAGTGTTATTGGTTTAACCCAGAAGTTAGGCTGGTTCATATGTGATTTTTCCCAGCACATTAATATTTTGCACCACCAGTTTTGTAATAGTTTATTGAAGGAATACAGTCGTGTTAGTCTGAAATGGGAAGCGTGACATGATTTGATTGTTTAAATAGGATCACTCAGGCAGTAGAAATAGGAAGTTACTGCAGTAATCTGGGCAAGAGCAGATGGTGGCTTGGACTAAACTGTGTTGTTAGTGGACCATGATAAAAAGTATGAAAGCCTGCTACACTAGAGAAACATATGTGCAGAGAAGACATGCACAAGAATGTTTGCCAAAGCACTGCTTCAGTATAATGCATAAACTGTGCAGTTAGAATTAACTAGAGTATGAATTTGAGAAGTCTGTTAGACAACCAAATAGAGACATCCAGTTGACTAATGGATATGAGTCTGTGGTTCAGGACAGTTGTACAAGCTGTAGATATAAATTTGAGAGGCATTAGGATATAGTTGCCCTAAAGCTGCAAGACTGAATGAAATTACCAAGGGAGTAACTATAAAGAGAAAAGAGCTCAGAGGACTGAGCCCTGGGGCACTGTAGCATTTAGTTTGGGAAAAGGAGGAAGAACTAGCAAAAGAAAACTTGAGGGAGCATGATTTTCTGGAAGAAAGTGTTTTCAGGAGGAGAAAGCAATTAATTGTGTCAAATGCTGCTGATAGGTAAGAAGGGTGAGAACTTGATTTAACAGCATGGAAGTCTTTGATGTCCTTTACAACCAGTTTTACCGGAGACATGGAGTTGAAGGTCTGACTGGAATGTTTCAAGGCAAAAATGGAGAACTTGCTCAAACTCCCACTAACACATCTGCTTACCTAACTCTTCCTGTGCCCCTATAGTCTTATCTTTTCTGCTATTTCTATGGATGCCCTGTCTATAACCCTACCTAAAGCCAACCCCTTCCACTGTGCACCAGATTGTATCTTCACTAACCTATTAAAAATTGTGGTCCCAGGAAATTTCCACTCCATCTCCTACATCATTAGTTATTTTCTCTATATTGCATCATTCCCATCAGCATATAAACATGCCATTATTTTTCCCATCTTAAAAAAAAAAAGCCCTTTCTTGACCTAGTTCCCCCTTTCAGCTGCTTCCCACATTTCTCCTTTATAGCAGAACTCCTTGAAAGAACTATCTCTACTGCTGTCTCCAGTTTCTCAGTTGGATTTAATCAAGTTGTGTTTAAATCATGTGAGTATGAAGAAGAACAGAGAAGCAAGGGAGTTAAGAGTGAATGCAAACAGGTAGTGATGATTTGCCAAGTAATTTAAACTGGTTAAGGAGAAGAGAGTACCTCAGTGGGTGAGAGAGATGAAAAGGTGGTGGCATCAATGCACAGAAGTTCCCCATGTGTCAAAGGATCATTGGAAATGGAGTAGTAGTATAGTGAGCTGGAAGGAGAGAGGAGGTAGTGACTGGAGAGTGGGGCATTTGAGATCATTGAAGAGTTTCAGTTGTTGGTAATGATAAGCTCAAGGTTATGACCAAAGTTTGAGCTGAGGCAGAATAGAAGACAAAATTATCAAAGGAAAGGCAAAGTGAGAGGTCAAGACATCGGAAGGATCATCTGTGTTGGTATTGAAATTACCAGGAAGTATAACTGGAGTAGTGTTGTAGAGAGTGAAAATGAGACAGGAACTAAGATGTTAAACGAATGAGGGGGGATGGATGGGAGGGTACAGTAGATGACTGCAGCAAGAAATAACTGGGAAGCAGATGGCATGTTCTGATGACATGTTTTTAATGGAGGGAGAAGAGGAGAATGGCCAGGAAGCAGCAATGAGAAGCAAGGAAATCTACTCCACCTCTGAGCCCAATGACATAAGAGGTGTGGGAGAGAAAACAGCCACCACTTAAGAGGGCTGCAGGGGCAGCAGTGTCACCCGAAGTCACAACCTCAGAGTCTGACAGGTGAAGCTCAGACAGCTGGGTGTTTTTCACAAATTAATATTCTCATTTTTCTTAAACCACAGAATTCTCAAGATAGAGACATAAATAAAAAGAAGTATTTCTGTATTATAAGAAAAACAACCATGAAACAATAAGGAAAACTCAGCTTCATGTTTGGAAGACATAGGGAGTGGCAAGAGACCACTTTAAAACGAATAACCATTACTTTGTGTTGTTGCCATGGCAGAATTCAGGCCTACTATTGCCGGATGATTTTTCAAGAGAAGCTGGAACTATAGATTTTTGTGTGAAAAAGACAAAATATTGGCCGAAATTGTTTTTAAAATAACTGTGCAGGCCAAATAAAACATCGGAAACTGCATTTAGCCATTCAGTCACAATTTTGTGAACTCTTTCAAAAATAAAATTATGATATGTATTTGTTTGTAAGTTCAAGAGGCAAAACGCATATTGTCAAACTGGCTACCTTCCTGAGCTCATTGGGTAGAGTTAGCAACATTTCAGTGCGCAGGTGTAAGTAGAGTGACTATCTTCAAGGCGCAGGTGTAAGTAGAGTGACTATCTTCAAGCCGATCACCAAGCAGCACTTAAATTACCTGGCAACTTATCAGTTGCTTGTTAATTGATTATTACTCAAACAGACCAGATCTCACTCCATATTTTTTTGCTTTCAATTCTATCCCTGACAGTGGAATTTCTTTTGAAGAGAAACACATTTAACTTTGGCCTGAACTTTTAATAAAAATTAGACCTCATGTAATAATAGAAACCTTTTAGAGGAAAACTTGAGGATTCTTTAGACCTCAAAACAGAAGTTAATTTCTAAACAAATTTTAGTATTTATAAAGTATTTAATGTTTCTTCAAAACCTTCATATTTTCCACTAGTCAGTGATGACCAAATGGAATTTTTGCATTGAAGTAGAAGCCTAAAGGTGTTGTTTGGCCCTTTGTGACCTTGGGCAGGACAAAGAACCCCTCTAGACTTAGTTTCCTTATCTGTAACATGGACATTAAAAATACATGTACTACCTACTTCATAATGTAGTTGTTAGGATCAAATGAGAATGTGAAAAGCTTACATCCTGACTGTATGGGTGCTTTATTTTATTAAATTATTTTGAAGAGTAATGACTTTCTTTAAGCTAGTGAGATTATCTACTTAGATGAAATATTTTAGATATTAGATTAGAATATGTTTTAAATTTAGGAAGCCCCTTAAGTATAAGTGGATATAATCTGCTTCCAAAAGTAACTTTCCTATTGAAAGATGACACTGCTGATGGTATCACTGTGTGAGGTGCTGGCTGAAAAGTATCCTCCCTCCAGTTCTGTCAGGATGACTGGTTGTACTTAGGTTAAAAATTCTGTTTTTTCAGGTAACACTTGATATACACACACTTCACTTTCTTCCTACCGTCCGTCACCTTCCCTTCTTACCCTATACTCATTTTTTTCATTGGAGTTAACAATTGTCATTTGAGATTTATATTTAATGTAGTGAGTATTTTCTAGCAGCATTTAATACATCATTCAAAAGAACAACTCTTAACTGAGAAACACAGGATACCTCAATTCACATTTTTTTTTTAAGTCCCAATGGTAAAACCTATAAGGCAGCTTCTTCAAAGGAAGCTTACTTAATATTGAAGAATCCAGTGCATCCAGTATGTTGAATATGAGGTGATAAAATCTTTATCACGTCCAGCTTGATTGTCATGTAACTTAGTCTGAGTCTTTTGAAATAATCATTCCTTTTTATTAATTATATGGTTGTTATACAGCCGGGGAAGGAAAAGGCTGAACATCAAAACCATGAACAATATACCTGAAAAACAAAATACAGTAAAATAAAAACAAAATCTTTAAGGAAGTACATAATCACTCAGTGGGTATGATTTAAAATTATAATTATATACCTAGAGATTTGGGAAGCTATGTTTAAAAGAATTGTCTACATTAAGACTACATGAAATGTAGATTTTTAAATCTAATATTCACACATTATTTTTCTTCAACCCTGAATCCTTAACAGTATGTATTTGGTAAAACTAGGATTTAAACAATGAATTCAAAGGTAAACAAAGTCCAAAGATTTGTAGTTTTAGTTCTGCCCCTTGCTGACTTGCTAAGTGAGAAACCCTGGACTTGAGTCTCCATTTGTTCCTTTTTAAAATGGCAACACTGTCTGCCCCTGCATGCCCCAGGGAGGAACCCAGAGTAAAGCAACTGAGCACTCCTGAGTTTTTACTTGGAATGCTCAGATAAGAACAGTATGTTAGGTTACTTTATCCCTTCTTACATTTTTTCCCATTAATCTCAACCATTAATAGCTTTTAGAGAAGTATCAAGCATGATATTTAAAATAGAAAATTTCAAAATCTTAAATACAAAAATATAAAAACCCACATATCAGTAAATCTTTGTTTTTTGAGGTTATATCAGACAAATCTAGCATGAAGCAGTTGTTTAATTTTTCAGTGGCAAATAGGCATGGAGAGAAGTGAGACATAAGGGCTCAATCACTATCTCAAAGGGGAAGTCTACAGTGGTTAATTTTTTTCTTTTAAATCAATGTATTTAGGCTAAAAGTTCTAGGTTAGTTTAAAGTCAGATTAAGAATGAGTTTTTGTCACATGCAGATTTGAAATTATTTTACTCATTTGGCAACAACAGAAAACCTTAAGGTTTGGCCAGCATTTAGACACTGGAGCATATTAAAAAGATTAGTGCTTTTTGCAAAGATGCTTTAAATTGGAAGAAAAAAAAATCAGAAACAATCCCTATGTTAACTGACTCACTAATTTTGACGTTTTCTTTATAAAGTAGAAAATAAGACATTACATTTAAAACTTTTTTCTAAAAATGGCATTGCATTTCATAGGAGCAAATAGAATATGCCAGTTTTCATTGTATGAAGTGTATAAACTAGAGAATTAATTCTTAGATGCATTCTTATAGTTACCTCTCTAACATTTTAAATTAATTTGGGGAGATGGCAGGGACCAGTTCAGGAATTACAATTATCTCTTATGAAAAGGAAGAAGAAAGAGTAAGGACTGTGTGTGACTCCCAAGAATAGTTTGCTTTCTGCCTGCTCAAGAAGAGAAAGACGATAGAATCTATGTTGGGATTGCTTGTCTTTCTGTCTTCATGGCATTGCCTAATTTGACTTTGGCTTTTTTGTTTTTTTGACTCATCTCTTACCTGGCTCTTTGAATGACCCTTGTAAAATTAGAATTCCTTATTTTTCTTAGCGTTTAATTGTGACTTTATTTCATTTTGGGCCATTTTTTTCCCAATGGAATTGTAACTTCAGTTTATGAAAAAATTCAGAGGCAAACTAGAATTTAATATTATAAACAGTGCCATTTATTTGTACTTAGTAAAACTATAGGATCTAAACAGTGAATTCAAAGGATGAAGTCCAAAGATTTGTAGTTTTAGTGTGTCTTGTATCCGTGTATATTAGAAGATCCTTTTATTACTTCTCATTCATAAATCACTTAAATATAGGAACATGCCTCTTTAAACCAAAAACTACAACAGAAATTTGATGTTTTGTCTATTTAGAAAAAGCTATGGGTCCTTAGGTCAACTAAGAAAAAAATCTCTTATTTTCAACAAGCTAAACAGGGCCATACATAGTTGCAAAAGAGTTAGATCCTAGTTCCACTTGTAAACAATTCTTGCATAGGAAGCAAAGAAATAAAGTGCACTTGTTTTTTTGTGTGGATGTTTGGATTGTTTTTGGATAAGCGGTTCTTTAAAATGTTTTGGTAAATGGCCACAGGTAATATGTGATCTTCCTGTTTGAAGTACACTAACACGAAGGGAATATAGTCCCTCTCCCCACCCTACCACCCTCTGGTCTGTAAGCTTTCTGATAGGGGAGGAGTTGTTCCTTTTTTGCCGATCATGAGACTTTTCCAGTGTGGTGTTCTTTTTAATGATTTGGGCTGGAGAACATGTTTTAAGAAAAAAGTCATGATTCTTTTACAGAGAATGTCATTACTTCTGATTTTTTTTTAATACTCTTCTGGGAAGGCCTACTTTTTAATGTTCTTTGAAGTAGTAGATGAAATAATTCCTTAGTATCCTGGACCTATTCTTAAAATTGTAGTTGAAGCATATCGACAAATTATAATACCCTGATAAATGTTCGTTTCAAATAAAACATATTGGAAGAGTTTTTCCATATAAAAACTACCAGTAGACCTGCCTAATTAGTTTTCAGTGACCCTTTTAACTTCTTAAAAATCAAAAATAGAGAAAACAAAATTTTTAAAGTTATTATCAGAAAATACTAGCAATCTGTAGAACTGAAAAAAGCTGCCACTACTAGCTTTTTTAAATGTAGGTTTTCTCTGACATTCTTAGTGTTTAGACCTCTAGGTAGTATTATTGAGCATAATAGATAATGTGATAAAACAATAGAAGCTGAGTGGGAGGAGTAAAGTGTGATGACTCTTCACACTTGTTGCAGTGTTCCCTTCTCTATATGTACCTTTTTTTTTTTTTTAACAGAAAAAAAAAAAAAAAAACCAGAAAACAAGCAACAAGAAACAGAATGCTAACTGTGGACAAAAAGAGTGAACTAACAAAAGGCCAGGCATCCTCATATTAATTTATAGTTATGAATTATAATCTCAGGCTCAGAGGACTAAACAAAATCAAGATATGCTGATAATTTAATAGCTAAAATGCATACTATGATTACAGTTACTGTGTAATTTTTTGTATTATTTGACCTATCTTTATAGTAGAGTTTTGTATATTTGATCCAGAAGAAATAGCAGGAATTGAACTTTGGATAGTTTAAAAATACACTTATTAAAGGTATACATTGTTTCATGAGATGCTTTTCTGCAAAATGAGTCAGATAAACTAAATGATATTTTATCTGTAGCTCACAAATTGAAAGAAACAAATTCCTTTTGCAAAAAAAAAAATAAAGCTTTGCATTTGTGC